TAATTGCATGTGTTACAATTTTCCCTTCCCTCAAAATTCCCCCATTTTTGGAGGGGAGCAAGAATGGGGAGGGGAGGGGAGGGGATTTTAAGGTAAAATTTTCCCTGCCCTCATATTTAAATATCCCAACCAAACAAGAGAAAAGTAAAAAATTCTCTCCCCTCCCCTCTCCTCCACTCCTTTTTCCCCCAACCAAACACTACCTTTAAGGGCATTCATATTTGAACCCGATTGTAATATGGTTACTCATTCTTAAATCATATGGATAAATTACCGCGTTCACCAAAATCATTAAGAATACATGGAACCCTGTCAATTAAGTTCAATTAGTTGTATCTTCTATATCCTTCAAATATTACAATTCAATCAGTATCTTCTACTCCCTCTTATTTTTAAAAAGTGTCGTTTGAGAAGTTGCACAATAATTAAGAATAATTTTTTTTGCGAATAATAATCCTCATTAATGAGGATAGAGATGTGAAACGTATGATTTATCGCGAGAGAATGTTTAAAATAGCGGAAGCAATAACCAAAGATATAGAACTCTTCAGAGAAGTGTCCCACTTTCCCTCAGAGCTCTTTCATTGATAAATCGTAACATTGCATAACTTGGACTTACACGACTTGAACTCTCTTCTAGTCTAGCCACAACTATACACGATCCTATCAACTAATTCTCCGGCCACGTCCCATGGACTTTTTATCCTACACTTAATCCCTAAGTGTAAAGTATGAAAAATAGTTTAATTGAAAAATGAAAAACAATTTCAGCAGCCGTCTTCAATATAAAAAACACACTCGATTGTGAAGCTTGAAGAATATCTAATGAATGATGATTTTCAGCAGCAGTCTTCAATCTTCAATTAGGGTATATATACAATCTTTAGGCGTGGAGTCCTCTCCAAGTAACATTCCTTCTTTTATCCGATTTCCTTTTGGTTGAGTTCCTCGGATTTTGGTAAGTGAATATCTCCTCTATCTTACTCCAAGATTTCCTCTTCATGCACGCTACTCTTCATCCATGCATATCCATTTCTGAAATAACAGAATCAATAATAAATCACACACACGTAATATAAAATCAATTCATATTTATAAAAATATTCGAGAGTATAAAGTATAAAAGAACTTCCCTTTTTATAGATCATGATTGCAATAACATATCTTCACTTGTATTAATTTTTGAACTTCATTGCCAAAAATATAACTCTTTCAAGATGGATGTTTTGAGAAAAGATGAAGAGAATATAAAAAGACGTAATGTATTTATTAGTTAGATGAGGGTAATAATGGAAAATATGTACAAAAAATAAAAAACGTCATTTATTTAGTTAATTGTTGATAAAACCAGAATGATATTTAAAAAAAAACTAGTACATACCTTGTGCGATGTACAGGACAAAAATATTAAATTAGTTATTTTCACAGGCTTTGTCCGTTTAAGTATATAAAGTAATAGGGTTACCATCTATTTTCCACCTTTTTTAATGAGTGTAATAAAGAATAATATTACAATCTATTTTTTGCACCTCTTTTAATCAGCGTTGTTTTTTTAGTCAAAACATTAAATATGAGCATGTTAGGGCTAGCTTGTAAAATAATTAATATATTATCTCACTAACACATTTATACTAATATAAATTTGATTTTAGTATATATATTTATTCCTTGATATAAGAGAAAATAACAATTTTACTTATTCTTGTTCACCATATAATGTCATTATTATTAAATTATTATTTTATTATAAACTTTGTTGTCATATAATGTCATAATTATTATAAAGTTATAGAAATTGTACGCCTTCTTTTTTTTTATGTAATGAAAAATATTTAATGCACGTTAGTATTATTTATTTATGTAATCAATTTAAAATATGTAAATAAATTTAAAATTAAATAGTGTATAAATATTTTACAAAATATACACATGTTTTTTTAGAATTTAATTTTGTATACTAATTAAACAACTTTGATTTAGAAAATACCAAAAAACTCAATCCCTTCTATGATTAAGATTTTTCTAATTCACATTATAAGCATTTATAGCTTATTTAGCATTCTCTGCAACGAAAATATATTTTACAAGAATTTAATTATAGAAATAAATCAAAATAAAAAAATAAAATAAATAATCATGGGCGCCAATGATATACAAATAAATTCTAAAAAATAGTTAATATATTTTAATTTTAATTTTTTAAAATTAGTGAAACTATTTAATGTATCTGGTCATTATCTCTTAAATGGTAAATTATATTAATTTGAAGAATAATTTATTTTTTATATTTAACAAAATAAAGCTTAAGAAAAAAATATATTGGCAAAGATTCATTCACCAATTTTATTTTGTCTGATTACTTGGAAAAAAAATTCTACATAACCTGTTACGATTTTCCATAAATATTTTTGGATACAAAGTGAATATTTGTGAAAAAAAAATTAATATTATGGTTAGAACTTAAAATATGGTGTAATATTTATTTTGACCAAAATATTATCAACATGGATCATAGAAATCAGTCTTTTATAATTTATTATAATAAATATCAATGAAAGTATTGTAAATATTAATAAATAATATTTATCTTGACCAAATTATTATCAATATGAATCACGAAAAATCAATCTTGTAATTTATTATAATAAATATCAATGAAAATAATTCAGATATTAATAAATTTATTTAAGTAATTTTTTGATCATATCTTATTTGATCTTATTTGAAAACGTGTATATGTAATCAATTAATGCATAAATTTAAAAAGTTAATAAATTTATTTACGTAATCTTTTGATCATATCTTATTTGATCTTATTTGAAAACGTGGATATAGAACCAATTAATGCAATATTTAAAAAGTTTCTAAAAATGGTTATGGATTAAATGTTTCTTAAATTTTTTGCTACTATTTTTAATAAATGATAATTCTTATTATATATACTAGTACAAAGCCCGTGCGATGCACGGGGTGCACAATTTTAAGGCTATTTATCCAGACTTATAATTATATACATGAATAAAGAAAAATGTACAGGATATATATAGTACGTGACTCGTGCGAAGCACGAGATTTATTTATTTGGAGAATATTATATTATAAGATGCAATATTCAATAAAAGTTTATAATACGCAAGAAAATTGTACAATGTTCAATAAAAGTTTTATAATATTCAAGTGGAGTCTTAAGGTCTTTTGTACATTAAGACTACTGACAAAATAATATTTTAATCAATGAGTTTCATTTCCTTGTAGCCAAATTGTGAATGTGATTTGAGGAGTACAACAAATCGATATATAGCTGACTTACTTTTTTCATTGTAGTTTTTTTCTTTTTTTTTTTTTATAATGAATTTAAAGATATTCTAAAATATAGCAAAAATTAATTTTTTTTTATTCCAATTAGAAATTTTACTAAATATAAACTCTCAATCTATGGTGTTAATCAATGTTTAAGTCTAGAAAAATAAGAATTTTTACCTCTTTTAATCAACGTTTAAGTCTAAAAAACAATAGAGTTATTATAAGTTTTTTTTCTACATCTTTTAAAACATTAAATATGAGCATGTTAGGGCTAGCTTGTAAAATAATTAATATATTATCTCACTAAAACATTTATACTAATAAAAATTTAATTTTAGCATATAAATTTATCCCTTGATATAAGAGAAAGTAACAGTTTTACTTATTGTTGTTCACCATATAATATTTAATTATTATTTTATTATATAATAAAAAAGGAATATTGTTAAATAGTGTAGTAGAATTGTTATAAAATTATATGATTTTTTTTTTTACAATATGGATTTAATATTTTTTTTTGATTTGATAATATAAACAAATCTATACTTAACTTTGACAAATAAAACAAATAAATACTTTAGTAAGTATTTAATGTATATACTAAATAGGAATATATTTGGTATAATCAAATACCAAATATAATCAAATAAGTCAAAGTGTACATTTTTATTTGGTATTTGATTTTTTTATTATTAAAATCTTTTTATTATACTTACCTTTTTAAAATAAAATAAATAAATAAATTAATTAAATAAATAAAATATTATAATACCAAAATAGTAATGGCATTTAATGCACTTGACTTTTCTGGATAGTAAATGTAGTAAATAGAATCTCCTTTTATATAAGTATAGATTCTATAATACGGAAATAGTAATGCAATAAATGTTGTTGACTTTTCTTTATACTAAATCTGGTAAATGGTATACCTTTTAATATAAGTATATATATATATATATATATATATATATATATATATATATATATATATATATATATATATATATATATATATATATATATATATATATATATATATATATATATATATATATATATATATATATATATATATATATATATATATATATATATATATATATATATATATATATATATATATATATATATATATATATATATATATATATATATATATATATATATATATATATATATATATATATATATATATATATATATATATATATATATATATATATATATATATATATATATATATATATATATATATATATATATATATATATATATATATATATATATATATATATATATATATATATATATATATATATATATATATATATATATATATATATATATATATATATATATATATATATATATATATATATATATAGATAAGTGGGAGTATATTAGTTAAAAGGTCAATCCTTCTACAATCCAAGTGCTTAGGGAGTCCACATGTTTAAGCATAGAAGTAAAGTATGTTGAACAACGACTTGAATTATTATTATTTCATTTAATCACGTACACATAAAAAGATAACTCAGACACCATACAGCAAGTGGAAGTGGGGGAAATGAAACTATGGGACTACCCTACAGTCTAATTGGATAAACTTCAAGGGGCCACATTTGTCCAATGTTTTTCAAAAATCAACTCCCAAAGAACATTTGATTTAATCGAAGAATTCAAATATTGATGTAAAAATGAAGTGGATCAACTTTTACAGAAACAGACAACCAATCCAAAGCGGTGATGATATACCAGCAAAGTTAACAGCGTCGTTTGAGTCCACGTCGACACTCATTACAAAAATGGTGCCTTTTTTATTTTAGCTTTATCTCATGCAAGCTGAAGGAATAATGGAATATGCACGGAAATAATACGCACATGATATTGATATATATATATAACACAGACACTTACATCATACCGCACCAACTCTTTTTTTGTTTTCCCCTTTTTCTTGTTTTGTTGTTTATTTTATTGCGAGAATGATTGGAATCTGAATCGAAGTGCATATTCTTTCGAGTTGCAGCGTTTCTTTTCTTTTCTTTTTTTTTTGTTGTGGGTTTTAAAGTGAGGTAATAATTATTTGATGGGAGATAGCGAGAGCTGTAGCAGCCGTCAATCCGAGTGGTCGCCGGTCCAAAGCCGGAAAACAAGGCAGAAAGTCGAGGTTTTTAATGAAGTATTGACCAGATTGAGGGAATTGGATGTTGAAGAGGCTAACGAACCGGGTTTTGAAGATGAGTTGTGGGCTCATTTTAGCATGCTTCCTCTTCGGTAATTTTCTTGTTTACTCTGTTTTTTTTCTTTTTTAAATGATTATCCGTGAAATAATCTTGTTCTTTTTTTTGTCTGCCCATTTGATTGACTCCTGTTGTCAGAAGAGGGTATTTGTAAATTTAATGTCAGGTAATTAAAGAGAAAGGAAGAATACGCTGAAAGTTCGATTCTTTGAACATCACCGGTAGATGAATTTCCAGTTTTAATGTAAACAGACCATCAAGGATCAGAAGTTTGGACTTCTGTTTTTTGGGAAAATTGGAGTACATACAAACTTGAGTGTTATGACCTCGGCTTAGTTCTTCACTGGATTTTTCAGAAAGATCTAATAGAAACTGTTGAATGAGTTCCTAAATTGTCTTTTTTAATAGAGATGTACAAAAGAACTGTTTCTTGCTTTGTCATATTTTTTGAATATTACTGTGGCTTTCCAGTTATGCTTTGGACGTGAACACTGAACGAGCAGAGGATGTGTTAATGCACAAGAAATTGCTGAACTTGGCCCGTGATCCTCTCACTAGACCTGCTGTTGATGTTCACGTTGTGCAGGTAGATCTTGGACTGTCCTATCATGATTATCTCTTGTTGATTATATCTTTGGTTATGTTAGTAATGATCGTGATACGTTTCAATCGCTGAAGGTGGTTCACATATGGTTATACTATTAGAGTTTCCGTGTTATACAGTTTATGATGAACATGAGAAGATAAATCGATTGTTGTAAATGCTAAATTTACAAAATTTGAAGCTTGAGTCTCTTAGCAGCTTAGCAAGAATTGCTTTGATTCTGTTGGACTGTTGATATTTTCACGAGTTTGACTGAACGTTCGGAGTTACCAAATGGAATCACAGCGTAATATATCGATGTTATATATCAAGCTTGAGTCTCATATAAAATTTGATTTCCTATTTTAGCAGATTTTGCCTTGTGAAATAGAAGTTAGTGGGAGAATATCAAGAGCATGGTTAGATACTAGTTAGCAAGAACTCAATTGCTAAAACAGGAATTAAGAATATTTGTAGTTGTGCCACTAGCATTGATTCTTAAATTACACGTCTTAGCACAAAATCTGTTCAGTTGCCGTTTTTTCAATATTGATAATTACTCTTTCATGCAGGTTCGCCCAGCCATTGATGGAAATGGTGATTCTATTAATACAAGTGGCGTTGAAGAAGGAGATGCTGTCCAGCTGGATAGGTAAAAAAAATTTTTTGCCCTTGAAAAGATGTGAAAAACATGACATAATGTATGAAATTCATATTTAGGTCACCTTGTTTGTTCTAATTTGCAGTCTACACCCACCGCCTGCATTTGGACTGTCGTCAAATTATGAACTTGCCCTTGAAGGAACTAGCTCTGATCCTAAAGAGGCGAATAACTATTTGAGTAGAAAATTACACTTTTTGCGGTAATATTTCTGAAAGGTTTGATTCTACTTAAGCTTTTGTACTTTGTTGTTAAAACTCTTTTGTATGTTATTCTTGTTTAATGCGGCTATCATCATAGTAGGATGAAATATCGGTTATTTTTATTTTTTATTTTTTCATCTTACTTCTGAACTTCTGGCAGGCCACTTCATGAGATAGCAATTTCAACAAAGGACAAACCTAAGCTCCTTAGCAAGGTAATGATTTTCAAGTTGAGAAGATACGGAATTGACTGAAATTTAAGGAGATGGATTTATAGTTACATCATATTTTGGGAAGCTGAATTCCTTGTCTGGAAAAAGCACGTGCCACTAGTTGTTCGTGATTGAATACATAACATCTTTGCCATAAGCACCTTGTGTAATTTTCTCTAGTTTTATGTGGTGGAGCTCGATTGTGCTGAGAGTTGGTGTATGTAGATCAATCAATTATTATTCTATTGAAATATATAACTGATGAGGTCTTGTTTTGATTAATTTCAGTTGACTTGCCTGCTGTCTGAAATTGGATTGAACATTCGAGAAGCTCATGCTTTTTGCACAATTGACGGTTATTCGTTGGATGTATTTGTGGTTGATAGTTGGGAAAAGGTACTTACAATCCTCTTCTAATCTAAGACTGCACTATTTTGACCTCTCGTGGTGAGAATATTAACTGAGAATATTAACACATTTTACTATTTTAACCAAAGAATCATCCAGTGTATGAATGTACAGTTTGAATGATACACTTTTGTATTTCTAAGCTATCACTAGTGAAATTGTTGATTTACGATCGCACTACAAATTCTCAGGGTATTGAGCATCTCAGAGATATATTGATAAAGGAAGTTCCAAATCTCGAGGTAACAACAGGCATAACCATGTCTTTCATCGCTCATTTCCTTTTTGTTTTATGAGCTTTTGTAATCCCTTAAAAAATTAAAAACCAAAAAGGAGAGGGAAGTTACCAATTCTTAATTCTACTTCTGATTTTTGTGATACTCCATTTATCAAATCTAACATTCAATTTCTGTTTGCAAAACACTCTTTTGATTGCTCAAAACACTTTGAGTTTTCTAGTTCAATAAAAATCACTACTTTTTTGCTGCAGATGTTGTCATTGTCTAAACAGGAGCAGATATGTCCAGGTGGAGGGCAGGGGCAAATTGGTTTTCTATTACCACCAAACCATGTTAAAATTCCTTTTGATGATAGTGATGTATGGGAAATCAATGCAAAATTGCTGAAATTTGAATACAAAATTGCTTCAGGATCAAATGGAGACTTGTAAGTTTTATCTCATTATTATTATTATTGACTTCCCCATTAATTTTATGAAGTCACATCTAATTTTACACATCAATACAGGTACAAAGGCTTGTTCTGTAGTCAAGATGTGGCCATCAAAATTCTTAAAACCGAGTGCATTAGTGGAGACATGCAGCGAGAGTTTGCCCAAGAAGTCTACATATTGAGGTAAAATTATAGCATTCATCGTTGCATTTAAGCAAAAACAAAACAAGAAAAACAAAAAAACAAAAACAAACCATACTAACAAAGAAGGAAAAGTGAAAACTTCTAACTTGTTTATATGCTTCTAATTTCCTATATCGTACCCTTTGATGTCTTTCAACAACTATTCAGGAAAGTCCGGCACAAAAATGTGGTACAGTTTATTGGTGCTTGCACAAGACCTCCGCTCTTATGCATTGTTACTGGTACTAATGCTTAACTCATTTTTCTAAGACTGATCTATTTATCCGTAATTTGTTTCAAGTCTCGTAGTCCAACAGCATGCACGTATTCTTTACATTTTTTTTTTTTTTTTTTTTTTTTTTTTTTTGGACAGAATTTATGTCTGGTGGAAGTGTGTATGATTTTCTCCACAAACAGAAAGGTGTTTTCAAGCTTCCAGCCATATTGAAGGTCGCAATCGATGTTTCAAAGGGAATGAGCTACTTGCATCAAAATAATATAATTCACAGGGACCTAAAGGCCGCAAATCTTTTGATGGATGAGAATGAAGTAAGAACTGGCGGGGTTTCCCCAGAATCAGTTGTAGACTTGTAGTCCTTGCATGTCTAAGATTGGAATAAAATTGAATTTAGCTTTGTTTGAATTTACATTCTCATATATAAGAGTGTTTGTGGTGCAGGTGGTCAAAATTGCTGATTTTGGTATTGCTCGAGTGCAACTCGAGTCAGGGGTTATGACTGCAGAAACTGGAACCTATCGTTGGATGGCCCCCGAGGTGTTAATTCCTTTATTTTTTTTTTTAATATTGTTTATGCGATAAAACTTAAGAGTGTTTGCAGAAG